AGAGAAAATAAATAAATGGGACTACATCAAACTAAAAAGCTTCTGCACAGCAAAGGAAATCATCAACAAAACAAAAAGACAACCTAATAATTGGGAGAAGGTATTTGCAAATCATATATCAGATAAGGGGTTAATATCCAAAATGTACAAAGAAGTCATACATCTCAACAACAAAAAAACCAACAACCAAATTAAAAGATGGACCAAAGATCTGAACAGAGATTTCTCCAAAGAAGATATACAGATGGCCAACAGGCACATGAAAAGATGCTCAACATCATTAACTATCAGGGAAATGCAAATCAAAAGTACAATGAGGTATCACCTCACTCTGGTCAGAATGGCTATAATTAACAAGGCAGAAAACAACAAATGTTGGAGAGAATGTGGAGAGATGAGAACCCTTGTACACTGCTGGTGGGAGTGCAAACTGGTGCAGCCACTATGGAAAACAGTATAGAGTTGCCTCAGAAAATTAAGAATAGATCTACCATATGATCCAGCTATTCCACTGCTGGGTATTTACCCAAATAACCTGAAAACATGAATGAATCAAGATACATGCACCCCTATGTTTACCACAGCATTATTCACAATAGCCAAGACTTGGAAGCAACCTAGGTGCCCATCAAGGAAGGAGCGGATCAAGAAGATGTGGTATATATACACAATGGAATACTACTCAGCCATAAGAAATGATGAAATCTGGCCATTTGTGACAACATGGATGGAACTTGAGGGTGTTATGCTAAATGAAATGTCAGAGGGAGAAAGTCAAATACCATATGATCTCACTCACATGTAGAAGATAAATACAATGAGAAACACATAGCAACAGAGATTGGATTGGTGGTTACCAGAGGCAAAGCAGGGAGGAAGGAGGGCGAAAGAGGTGATCAGGCACATATGTGGTGATAGTTTGTAATTAGTCTTTGGGTGGTGAACATGACGTAGTCTTCACAGAATTCAAAATAGATTACGATGTACACCTGAAAGTTATACAATGTTATAATCCAATGTTACTGCAATAAAAAAAAGTCACAGAATTAGCAACTGTGCAGTAGTAGCTGTGCCCACAGGCTGCTGGAACATTGAGATAAATATTGATAAATTCAGCTCCCTCACGCAGATATTTCATCAGTCTGAATTTTCCAGTAGAGGAGCCTCTAGCAATATGTGGCTCCTGAGTGTGTGAAATACCACTAGCTTGATTTGAGATGTGAGGTAAGCATGAAGTACACAGTGGATATCAAAGATTTCTTAAGGAAAAAAATGTAAAATATCAAATTCATAATTTCATATTGGTTATATGTTGTAATATAATATTTTAGGTATATTGGGCTAAGTATATTATTAAAATGAATGTCATCTTTTCATTTCACTTTTTTTTTACGTTGCTATGAGAAAATTAAATTTCACATTTGTGGCTCAAAACGAAAGAAGGGTAATACCATTACAGATAAGGTACATAGTTTCTGTTGATAAAGTACTATCTAGACAATTTTATTTTCTACATTTTCTGTGCTTTCTTATTGGCAACAGTGAAAAAAATGGAACTATAATTTAAAAAGTCACAAATTAAGACACAAGAGACCTGCGTTCTGGATACAATTGATCATTAATTAATTGTTGACAAGTTACTTAAGGTCTTTGTGTACTGTCTGTGGGGCAGGAAGCTGTGATCGGGTTAAACACCCCAGTACCAAAGACCCATGAGCTGGCTAAGGAAATGAGAAGCTGCCCAGGAACACAGTCTGAAAGCAAACTCCAGGAGATCATTCTGCCTCTAAAAACAAGTACACTATTTTCTTTAAATTGCTACAGCAGTAAATGAGACACAGGGCTACAGGAAAGAAAAAAATAAACATTATTATCAAACAAAAACTCCACATGCAAAGTAAGTAAAATGCTCTGAGTCACAACTAGAAATATTCTGCTTGCTAAGATATTTTTAGATTTTTTTTAAGTTATAGAATATGCATGCATATTTCCTAGGTACCGAAAGTTCATAGTAAGCAAAAAATTCAGTCATTAAGAAAGTTCATACTTCACTTCTCTTTTTTCTTTGCTTTAAAAGAACACTTACTGGAAATAGACATTCTACATCTGTACCCAAATGCTGGAAGCTGATTTAAAAAATAACTTCCACCTACAGAATGACTCTTTGGGTTAAAAAAAAAAATAGTTGAGCTTTTAAGATTTTTTTTATTGATAATTTTCAAAGTTCAGATTTAATCTCAAAATATGTAAAACATGGGCTTAGTTTTATGTTTCTTTGTGGTTTGTTTTTTAAGTGTTAATGCCCATAGTGAATGGCTAGGATCATGCAGGCTAAGGAAATAGCTCACGGTTATACAGCTTGCAATTGATAGAGTCCAGATATTCTACCCAGAAATTCAGGCCTGCTCATTTTCCACCAGAGCACTATTATATTACAGTTGCAATTGATTGCATAAACCAAACATATCATTCATTCATTCATTAAGAAAATATTTGGTAAGAGCCTTCCCTATGCCAGACATTATTGCTAGTTCTCAGTACAGCAGTGTGCCAAAGAGACAAAATTCCAACGGTGTGCTGGTGAATGTTCAACAGCTGGCTGGTGTCGGGGCGGGGTGGGTGAGGAGGAAGAGGACTTATGTGTAGCAATTGCTTGTTTACATAATTGACATACTTCTATCAGGACAGAGTTCAATCTACCACCCTGACATCATTGCCCTTAGAGTTGGGGAGAGATGTGCACAGTCAACTCTTGCGAGTCTGTGTGAGGTGGCTCCTGCAGACTACTGAAAAAATTCCTGCCCAAGGGAAAAATGCATTCTAGCAAAGAGAGAGAGGCAACATGCTCATCGCCTGTATGGTATACCAGATACTAAAATGTGTTATGGAGGGGGCAAAAAAAGGCAGGGAAGTTGGGTAGGCAGTGCTGGGTAGGAAGGGGCAATTTTAAATAGGAGAGTCAGGAAAGACTCTCTTTAAAAAATGACATTTGAGCAAATCCCTGAAAGTGGTGAAGGATGGGATAATAAAGAGCATTTCAGGGAGGGGGGTCTCTAGAGAAAAAGGCTTGGTATTTGTTTTAAGAATTTTGGTTGTTACCATAAGTGAGATGGGAAGACATTGAAAGGTTTTTCTGCTTTGTTTTGTTTTCAGCCAAGGAGTGACATTATCTTATTTATATTTTTAATATATCACTCTAGCTGATGCCTTGAGACTAGACTCTTTGGAGGTGAGCAATGCGGAAGCTCTTGCAATAATCCAGGCAAGAGGTAACGGTAGCTTGGATCAGAGTGGTAGCGGAGAGAACGGTGAGATTCCAGATGGATTCTGAATGTAGAGCCAACAGAATTTGTTTACAGATTGGATATGAAGTGTTGCCCAAAAGATGATTCTAAAGATTTTGTTCTAAGAAACTGGATTTAGCATTTACTGAATTAGAACAGAGCAATTTTGGAGAAAAGATCAGGGGTTTGGTTTGGACTACATTTAGTTTGATATGCCTGTTAGATGTCTATCTAAGAGGAGATGGAGAACAGGCAGGTGGGTATACAAGTCTAGTTTCAGGGAGAGGTTTGGGTTGGAGATATGACTGTGGGAGCATTTGAGATATTGGTAATACTTAAAACATTGAGGTTCAATGGGAGCACCAGAAGAGTGAATGCAAAAGTATTTAAAACTTAGTTAGCTATTTAACAAACGCATATTCCAGCCCTGTTCTCAGTGTTCTGCAAGTATTAGCTCATTTAATTCTCATCACTGTAGAAAGTAGGTACTAACATTTTCCCCTTTCACAAACAAGGAAACAGAAAGGTTAACTAAGTTGCCCAAGATTACAAGCAAACGGTTAATAAGTAGTAGATGTGAACTTTCTAACCAAGGCTGTCCAGATCCTGAGTTCTTGCAAGAGAAGAAAAGTTATCCAGAGGTTGAGGCTTCAGACACTACACCCTTCAGAGGTCAGGGAGATGAGGACACCCTGTTCATGGCAGGTAACACATTTTACTTTGCTGCGGAAACTCTAACTGTGCTCAAGGAGAGTAAACATACCAATGTTTCCCTTTACACTTTTCTATAATAAGCACATATTACTAGAATCAGAAAAGGTTGTATTAAAATAATAGGAGCTGCAGAGTTAACTTTTAAACCTTGTTTCAGGGGATGCATATCATTCTCCGTTTACATCACAGTTAAACGTGAAGATATGATGAAAGTCCTTACAGAAAAACTGAAGTGAAGCTCTCTGCTTAGGGTGTGAATAGAGTTACCATATGATTTATTGTTCAAAGAACCATTCCTGAGAGTAAAAGGGAGCGCTATTAATTATACGGTGACAACAGGCTTCAGTTAGGACTGCCCTAAACATACCTGGAGTCAGCGTGGGTGCCCCCCATAGCCTCTTTCTTGAGAATAGAGTTTGTATGAATACAACAGAGCAAACTCTTATCTAGTCCATGCACACTGCCAACCACTGTTACCACCTTACTGTTAATTACAGGTTAAATGTATTCATTAAATTTATTATTTGTCGTTGTTTAGCTTTCCTACTAACTACTGGTTAGAACTGGATATCAGAAAATGAACTGAGCACCCCCTGCGTGTTGTTATCCATGAGGATTGGAGGTACACAACTTGGGGCTCATTAGTCCTAGGATGAGAAATAATAACATGGGCTTCAGCTACTTTGATGATTAATGCTTCATTTCAAGGATTTGAAAAGAACTATTAAAAATGTTAAGTATAAGAGAAGTCTAGTAAGAAATCACTTTACACGGTGATTAAATACTATATTTATAATCATTAAAAAGACTTCTCTTCATTCCTGTTCTAACTTAAATGAACTGTGAAAAAAAGGAGACATCTAAGCATCCAATTCTCTTTCCTAAGCCATTTTTAATATGATATAAATACTACTCTGGTGTGGAACACGTGCAAGATGGAATGGCAAAATGGAAATACAAGAGAACATACTGTACCTTGTTTTACCTGTAAGGAACACACACCTGACAAAAGGCAATTTTCACATCGAAGGTTGGTTCACTGCAGTAGTACAATAAATGGAGGCTCATAAATACCTACAGAAAAAAGAGGGGGCATGAATTTCCAAATCACCCAACTGTTCATTATTTAATAGTATAAACGTTAATATAATTTGAATTATATACAAGTTGTCAAGTACAACATATATTCAGCATAGTCCTTATCCAGACCAGTACTAGGTACTTTTCACCAATTGTAAATATTAAATCATAAAATAAGGTTAAAATGTCCTATCTTCTATAATGATGTCATCACAATCATATAGATATAAGAAACTGGATACAACTAATAAGCTGAAGTTTAGTACCTTCCATCATAGAGCACTTTCAGTTCTAGGCATCTAATTTAAAAAATCTCAAGCATATGCTCAAGAGGATATATATATAAAGATGTTTATTGTAGAATAAACAGACTATGGAATAAAATGTAATTTATAATAGAATTATATACAGCACTTGAAATAATTGAATTAGAGCTTAGGGTATCAGCACAGATAAATTTTTCAAACATGATGTTGAGTGGGGAAAAAAGAGCAAGTTTCAAAGGTTATGAATATCACTATATTATTAACATAAAATTTTTTAATATAAAAATAATGTACATTGCTTTTTTATGTAACTAAATAACCAAGAATAAAGAAAATTGGGCACTATATTAACATTGGTTTAACCTTGGTATTAAGTACAAAGATTTCAATTATATTATTTTCTGTAGGTTTGAAATATTTTATAATTTTGCAAAGTTTTAAGGAGAGGATAAAAGTCATCTAATGGTGGTAATGCCAAGCTAGGTACTGGGTTATTTGGGAATGATGAGGCAGCACCAGACAAACTGGTCTGAAATCTCATTGGTTCAATTAAGCATGTTTTATTGAACGTTATTTTGTGCAAGACATAATTCTGTGCGATTAAGCAATTTTAAAACCACTATTGACACAAGCTGTCTGTTTCCGGCAATATGCATGATTAGATATCCTGGAAACCACTTTTAAAGCAAAACTGCTAAAAAAAAAGGTTAGATGAAATATACAAAATCTCTTTTAAAATGCATAGCTGAGCTGCCAAAAAAAGACAAGAAAAATTCTGAGAGGCTGAAAACAATGTGAAAGGATCCATGCAGAGCAGTAAGTGAGCTGAAGCTGCCACTTGTCCCCAGGCCATCTGCTGCTGTCTGAAGACTAGAACTTCAGTTTTTAAAGAACAGTGTATAGAATACAGGAACATAGAGCTTAAAACCTATCTGTGGTGGTAAGTCACACTGGGGACACCTGCATTAAGCTTTCTGGAGAAAATTTTAAACAATCTTAAGGAGCTAACAAAACAATCCCAGAAGGAGGGTCTGAATTGCAAGAAAAAGTGTTTTACATGGGAACTTGTCCAGATTTTTCAAATTTAAAGAAGAATGAAAGGACAATATATAAGACATTCCTGAAAAAGAACAAGGTGGGTATCTGTCTGTGGGGGCAGGGGAAGGAATTGATCTATCAGAGATCAAGATTCATTATAAAGCTGTAGTAAGTAAAGGTATGTGGCACTGATGCAGAGATAGACTCATCAATTAACAGAATGGAGAGCCAGAAACGGACACATACATATATGGAAGCCTGACTGTCTGCATTGCAGATATTTGGGGAAAGAAGATACTATGCATTAAATCGTGCTAAGACAGTAGGTCCTGAATATGGGGGTCCGGGGTACACCCTGCTGGGAGACAACTCTCTACAGGCCTCTCACCTTGCTGCATGTCTTGCAAACAGAAGCACTGGCTGCCTTTATTCCAGGGCGTCTTCTCAAGGATAGTTATGTAGCAAACAACCTTGGAAGAGAGAGAGAGTATCTCCCCCTGGAGCAAAGGGCAGGTTCGATTACTCTGCAGTATAATAAAGTGTCCTTCGGGGGCAAGGCATGCTTACTGCCCATTATAAAAGACTGAGTTTCCCTAAGCTTGGAGTTCCTCTTCCATAATGTAACTTGCTGTGCATGCAGTAGTCACCTGACCTTCTTTGAGTCCCCTTGTGGGTATTGGGGCCCAAAGAACTGGCATGAGTGCTGACATTCTAGCTACTGCTATTGACGTAATAAAGACCTTTGTATCCGACCCAGGAATCTTGTGTCTACTTCTTCAAGCTGGGTGGTGGAGTCATGCATGGTTGTTTCATTATTATTCTCTAAACCCTACATATATGAAATATATGCTATTTGGTACGTCGGAAATATTTCATAATAAAAAAACTTCAAGTGACACAAGGAACTAGTGGTCCTTCATTCTTTTGCTCGGCATTGTTGTGTAAACACAAATGCCTGGAACCAAAACACTCATAATAGTAAATAGTAGGATATGATCTTGAGAAATGCTGAGGAGTGTAAAGCAGGAAGGTGGAAGGACCTGTGTGCTTGATGATAACACTAAACTAGTGAATTAAGAAATTCCGGAAATTTTCTACTTCTAGACTTTCCATTATATGAGAAAGTAAATCCTCCATAGGGAAAAATATTACTAAAATATAGTCGGTAAGTAAAAAGCAACAACAAAAGAAACGATTTAATCCTCAAATTTTAACGAGATTATTTCATTGCATTTCCATGCGATTTATGTGTAATTTTTGCCAGTTACCTCCACTTCCTATTTTCAAAGAAAATTTTTAAATTTAGTTTTGATTCAGGTATCATTTACACAGAGCAAAATAAACAGTTCCTAAATGTCCAGGTGGATGAGTTTTGACAAGTGCACATATCCAAGTAACTCACATCCCAGTGCAGACACAGAACGGTCTGAAAACCCCTCATGCCCTTCTCTGGACAATACTCCCCACCCCCCAGGCTAACAGTGTTCTAACTTCCTTCACTCCAGATTAGTTATTCTTGTCCTAGAACTCATACAAAAGAAATCATACAGTATGTACTCCTTTTTGTTGGGCTTCTTTTGCTCAACATGCTTTTAGTATTCATCCTTGTTGGTGTAAGTATCAGTGATTGCTCCTTTTCATTGCTGAGAATAACGCACAACATGTTCATCCATTCTGTGTTAGGACACTTGAGGTGCTTCCATTTTTTAGATATTACTAATAGTGCTGCTATGAACACTTATGTACATGTATTTTTGCATAAATACGTTTTCATTTCTTTTGGGAAAAATATCAAGTGAAGGAATGGTTGGATCATGAGATTAGGAATATGTTTAATTTATGAACACTGCCAGGCACATTGTCTACCCTCCACAGCAATGTATGCAAATTCAGTTGCTTTACATCCTTGCCTCAGTGTTATCAGTTTTCTAAATTTTAATCATTTTAGTGGGTATTTGATAATTTTTTTATGATTTTATTTTTTATTTCCCTGATGACTAATGATTTTGAGAACTTTTTTCATGTGTTTATTGGCCATTTATCTTCTTTTTGAAGTGTCTTTTCAAGTCTTTTGCCCATTTGGTAGTGGACTATGGGTGCGAGTAGGAGTTTGTCTTTTTATTACAAATTGTAGAAATTCTTAACTATTTCAGATAAATGATTTCTGTCAGTTACATGTACTATGAATATTTTCTTTCATTCTGTAGCTTGCATGTTTAGCTTAGTAATGCTGTCCTGTAGTGAATAATATTTAATTTTTATGAAATTTATTTTATCATTTGTTCTCCTTTTATTATGAGTGCTTTCTAGGTTCTGTCAAAGGATCTTTGCCCACACCAGGTTCGTGAAGGTATTCTTCCACGTTTTATTCTTGAAGCTTTACATTGTTAGTTTTACTTTTATTTATTTATTTATCTATCTATTTATTTATTTATTTATTTTGAGGAAGATTAGCCCTGAGCTAACATCTGCTGCCAATCCTCCTATTTTTGCTGAGGAAGACTGGCCCTGAGCTAACATCCATGCCCATCTTCCTCTACTTTATATGTGGGACGCCTACCACAGCATGGCTTGCCAAGCGGTACCATCTCCGCACCCAGGATCCGAACCGCCGAACACTGGGCCATCAAAGCAGAACCTGCAAACTTAACCACCACGCCACTGGCCAGCCTCATTTGTTTTTCTTTTAGGTCTATGATCCATCCCCAATTAATTTGAACCCATGGAGTGATGTATATGTTGAGGTTCATTTTTTTCCTTATGGATAGCCAGTTACTCAAGCATCCTTGGTGAAAAGACTTCCCTTTTCATGTTGTGTTGCCTTGCTACATTGGTCAAAAAAATCAATTGACTGTGCACGTGTGGGTCTATTTCAGGACTCTATTCTATTCCATTGATTTGTTGTCTATCTTTACCACAATACCATCCTGTCTTGATTACTGTAGATTTATAATAAGTCTGAAATTAAGTCAGTCCTCCAAATTTTGTTTTCTTTTTATTTGGGGAATTATTTTAGGTCTTTGCATTTCCACATGAATTTTAAAATCAGCCTGACATTTAAAAAGACAAACATTCAAGATTTTGATTGGGATTGTATTAGAGCTATAGATCAATTGGGAAGAATAGGTATCTTAACAATATTGAGTGTTTTTATCCATAATCATAGTGTATTTGTCCATTTATTTTAGTTCTATTTCAGAAATGTTTTTTAGTTTACAGTGAATAGACTTTATACGCTTTTCTTTAAGTTTATTCTTTAGCATTTTTGTTTTTTGATGCTAATGTAAATGGGTATATTTTTAATTTCCATTTCCCAAGTACTCATTTCTAAAAATAAAGTTGATTTTTATAAATGTCCTTGTATTCTACATTGCTAAATTCACTTACTAAATGTAGTAAATATTTTGTGAATTGTTTAGGATTTTCCTTATACACAGAAAAGCTGTCTGCAAGTGAAGATAGTTTTTACTTTTTCCTTTCCAGTCTGCTTTTTCTTGCCTAATTGCCCTGCTCCAGAACTGACTGTCATTTTGTTTTCCATTTTATTTTATCTAATAGCTTATTAGTTATACTTCTTTTTCTTCTTTTTATAGTGGTTATTCTAGAGTTTGCAAGGGAAAAGCCCAATAATGATGCATATTCTGCATTTTTAATTTTTAGTCATCTAGCTTCAAATAATATTATTCCACT